CAACTTTTTTTTTTTTTGATAGGAATGATGATTTATTAAAATCAAAGAACATCTTATGAGCCTAATTAAAAACCTCCCTAAACTTATTGGAGGAAAAGAGTGCAAAAGAACAAAACAAGCAAACATACTAAAAGTGAAAGCCAAACCAACAAAGACAACAAAAGCGAACAGAAAAAATTTCAAAAAACAATCCAACCGACCAAACAAAGCGAACACTGCAACCAACTAAAAGCACATATCAATTCCAACCGTAGAAGCTTCGTCGACTACGCGAACAGAGACAGCAAAAGCCAGATTCCAATAGCTCCAGAACTAACAGTCATAGAAGATTCTCGAAGAATGATCCTTCCAATGACCTAAGATAGTTGAAATAAAAATACGATTGCCGAATAAACGCCTCTCTATGGAGCCATGCCCCCGTGTTATCAATAATACTAAGAACGAAAGACCCTCAAAATGACCACACCCAACTTACCAGCCATTTAAAAAAAACCTTATGTGACGTGGCACTTGTAACTTCCAAGTGGTCCTCGGACACACTTCCCTAGAATCATCGTCCAAACCTACTAGAGCTTGTGTTTGCAAATATAGTAGTAAACATATGCTTGTCTTCCTATTTCCATCACGAGATATCATTCCCCATTCCCAAGTGGGGTGTTATAAAAGCAACAATCCTACGTAGCGCCTCCAATTGGTTACTCGTCATTGATCGTCGTTACTGTGATAACAAAATATTAAAATAGTGCGTTAAACCGATTGATTTGGAACTGTTTGGTCGTGTGAGACAATCCTTTCAACTGGCCGTTTGACCCTTCTCTATTTTTTACAGTTGTTGATCGTTGAACTAAAATCTCGCGTTCCCTATTGATTTACGTCATTTTTTGAATTCTCCATTCTTTTTCACTAACCAATCTTTCACGTTCGCATCTCTCTATGGATTGCAGGAACTTGTTTTGAAGCTGCTCTTGTTTCTAAATCACCTCCTTCGTCAGTAAGGATAGACTCGTGATATTACGTTAGGAAACAGACTTTTAAAATTTTAAAATAAAATAAACTTATAAAATTATAAGAGGACTAAAATAAAATTTTAATAAAAAAATATCTAAAATATATATTAATTTGAAATTTTCAGAAGATTAACTACCCGACCACCCCAAAATCCATCCATTTAGACAGCCTCCTGAAAAAAAACCTTCCATTTACTCTCTTACTGCTCCCTTGAACCGAGTCATCTATGTGTTGTTAAACTAACATATACATCACGAACTGCATATACTTGCACGACAGATATTTAATTTATTGCCGGGTTACACGATAATTTGATGACATCCTAATTTTCACTTTCTTGAATCTCATCGACTTGGCTGCACAACAGCGGAGTCAGCCAGCCCCTTCCTTATGATAACGATGATGCATTCGAGTAGAAGCAGTGGCCGATTTAATACGCCAGATCAATATTCTATTATTTTAATAATGATTGTTAACGATAAATTATCAATTTACTATAAATTGATCAAATTCTTATTTTGAAAACATAAATGAAAAAGAATAATGAGCATTTATATAATCTAGTACCCTAAAGTAATATTAATAGTTGCCAATGAAAAAGGAAAATGAAGATGGAGGCATTGTGCATCTGTTTTGGAATTAATACGATTTACTTTCTTGTATTGGGTAGCTGTTTGTGGATCTTTCTTCGATGGTATATTATACAAAATGAACTAAGGGGGTGTTTGGATGGAGGAGATGATGATTATTGGAGAGAGTTTTTTTTTATAGAATTTATATCTATGTTTAGATGGGAAAGATTCCCAATTGGGAGTAATAATTCATTCCCATTTTTAAGAGTGTTTTATCGGGAATGTTATTCCTACATATTACATAGGTATTTATATATTCCTATGAGTTTGAATTGAAATACCTTTAGGGTGCGTTTGGTTCACGGAATGTAAGATTACCAGTGAGAATGTAAGATTACCAGGGAATATGATTACTAGGAATGTTGTATTTTTTGTTTGGTTGGCTTAGCAGAAATGTAAGATTATCGTGTTTGGTTAAAGGAATAAAGGTTTATTAGAATGTATATTTGACCAAATTGTCCTTATTATATATTTATTTTTTAATAGTTAGAAAATATTTATATATTTTCTTTAAAAAAATTAAATTCATAAAATTTATATAATTTTTTTACCAACTTGAAAATATAAAAATGTTTAATGAAAGGGTAAAATCTTATTTTAACCCCTGAACTTCATATAAAATTTTAATTATAATTTTTTTTTGTAAATCTAAAATAGTTTAAGGATAAATTTGTAATTTAACATTCATAGAATTTTTATTATTCAATGACAAAAGAATTGTATTTTTGAAAAAAAATTAAGGGCATTTTAATCCAAAACGCCGGTAATCCAACAATTCTCGGTAATATACCCAAAAAAATCCACTATTGATAATCTTACATTACCAATAATGAGATTCCCGGTCTAACCAAACGGGGGAATGCGGATTCCATTCCCATGGGGAATCCCATCCAAACGCCCCCTTAAAGTAATATAAATTTTTCTAAAATATTTTCCCTTTGTTCTTTACCCTCTTTAGGGTGAAAAAAAGGGACCCGACCCGAAAAAAATATATAATTTTACCTTATATATTTAAGAATAATTACAATAATACCCCTCTATATATAATTTTTTTTCAATTAAGTCAATATTTTTATTGAATAAAAATATTTTTATTATTATTTCGTGTCGTGTCGGGTCGGGTTTCTAATTCATATATTGAATAAAAATAGTTTTTGGTATATTTTTTGGTAACTAATTAACATACTCCGATTGGAATGTAAATAAATATTACTCTATCTTTTGGTAACTTATTAACATATTTTGATTGCGATGATTTTAACTTATGATGTTTATTAACATGATTTTTATAATTTATTGAAATGAATAATCAATCAATAAAATGAAAATTTAATATTTTTAAATTTTTAAATTTTTTATAATATATTACTACATGTAAGTTGTAAAACAAATTAAAATAAAGCAAAAAAATAAGAAGGGTAATTCTATCATTTTACATTACTAAAATCAAATTCATCTGACATGTCTGCAAACCAAACAGAATGTGGAATTAGATTCCAATTCCTGACAGATTTCAATTCCTTCACAGATTCCAATTCCCTCAGAAAGCATTCTAGCTTTCTTCCAATACTAGAGAGAATATTATAGAGTTTCTTGATAGTTGTTTTCTCCTTTTTATCAAGAGAGAATTATCATTGTTTTCTACTTGGTCGATCGAGAGAAGTTGTAATTTCTATTTTCTCATAGTGAAATTCTTCTACCGTTGCCCGTGGTTCTTACTCTATATTATTTAGGGTTTTTCACGTAAATTTTGTGTCTTCTTTTTCTTCATTTTTATTTTCTCAAATTAACATTTGTAATTTTTCTCTATCCGATAGCCGTCTTCCGCAACATACGAAAAACAACAGTACTCAAGTCTTTGTCGATCACAGGCGTTTGCATAACTTCTTTACCATTTTATTTAAATTTACTAATAAATCGTTTCCTAATGACTAATGGTAAAGTACACTGAGCATCAGCAATGATTAAATGAAAGATTAATAACTAACATTATCATAATATCAGAAGAAATCAAAAAAGCAAGTGCGAGAGCCGTTATTATAATA